TCTGGGGCCTCACACAGGGGCTCGTCCCCACCCTGACCCCGCCTTGTACACCTGCCACAAATCTTAAGAAATCCCTCCTCTCGCCCTGCCAGGCTGCCCAGCCCGCCTCCCGTCCGTCAGGGGCTGCAGGGCTGGGCACCAACAGCAGTCACACAGCAGCTGCTCTCCCCCTTCCTGCCCTCCCGCCCGTCTTCCCATCTTCAAAGGGGGCAGGCTCGGGCCCAGGTTTCCTCATGACGGAAAAACATCCCGCCCCAGAGGATATGAGCAAGTGGTGTGCTGGAAGGAAGCGGGATAATGTCTTTTCAGCATGGCGAGCGAGGCCGGCCACGGAGCACAGCCTGGGGAGACCTCGGGGACGGATTGCCGAGCGAAAGAGGCAGAAACAGAAGGAAAACTCACCGGTAAGTTAAACACTCACACTTAAAGCAACACTACTGGTCTTACAAAGACACAGACACACCCCGGGACACATGTAACAGGCCTGGGCATCAAGGATGAAGGAAAATATAAAATAAAATGTTAAAATAATATAACAAAACAAAACAACGGAGGTACTTGACATAAGCCTCAATGAGAGGTGTTTAGCTCAACAAACAAAGGGTGTATTTTTCACCCTCCAATTTAAAAGAGAAGTTTAAACTATACCATGATACTTGCTTTCATTTATTAAATGAAACAAAACAAAACAAAACAAAAAAACACGAAGTTCATAGCACACGCCATTAGCAAAATTGTGGAGATACGGGCACTCTCACTCACACACTGTTGGTAGGAGAGTAACTTGGTACAACCTCATAGTGCAATTTGATCATACACTTAAAAAGCAACATGCACAAGTCTCCAAAAAAAAAACTGATTCCCCACACACACAAATATTAAAGTGAAAGACAACTACTCCTGTACTGTTTGCTAACATCAAAAGTTGGAAATAACCTGAAGATCCAACAAAAAAGAATGACTAAGTAAAATACGATCAAACTACATGAGTGGAATACTATGCAGCTGTGAAAAAGGACGATGCCGCCATGTGCATGATGGGTTAAGATCAACAAGGTATGGCAAGTGCAAAAGGGCAAGATGCAAGGCATGGGTGTGTTTTGCTTCTGTTTGTGTAAGCCAGGAGTGTCTGTGGCTCCCCGCCCACTCCGCCTGTTCTCCCCTCCCCCCAAGCGTGGCTCCAGCTGCACCACGCTCTCACCGAGTTCCATGCTCCTGCTAAGGCAGCGCTGCTATCTCCTTCCAGCCGCCATCACGACCATCTACCGGGATCTCATCAGCCATGACGAGATGGTCTCCGATATCTACAAGATCCGGGAGATGGCAGACGGGCTGTGCCTGGAGGCAGAGGGGAAGATGGTCAGTAGGACAGAGGGTGACATTGATGACTGGCTTCTTGGTGGAAATGCCTCCGCTGAAGGCCCTGGGGGCGAAGGTACCGAAAGCATGGTCATCACTGGTGTTGACATTGTCATGAACCATCACTTGCCGGAAACCAGCTTCACAGAAGAAGCCTATGAGAACTACATCAGAGATGACATGAAATCAAACCAAGGGAAGCTTGAGGAACAGAGAGCAGAAAGCGTAGAGCCTTTTATGACAGCAGCTGCAGAACAAATGGAGCACATCCTTGCCAATTCTAAAAACTGCCCGTTCTTTGTTGGTGAGAACATGAATCCAGGTGGCCTGGTGGCTCTGCCGGACGACCGTGAGGATGGGGGACCCCACGTGTGATTTTCTTTAAGCGGGGCTTAGAAATGGAACAAGGTTAGTTTGCCTAATTGGGGGACTTGTGAAATTGGGGCAGTTTGGCTCTGTCTCCTGTCACCGTAACTGGCTGTTGCTTTTCATCCAAGACTAGGAAAACCAGACTGATGTTATCTTAAGCTCTTCGTTTATTTTGACCTTGGGAGCAGGGGCATTGTTTTTAAGAAAAAAAAACAACATGTCATATAGGTTGTCTAAAAATAAAATGCATTTAAACTAAAAACAAAAAAATAGTGTCTGTGGTCATGTGTGTTTGCAGATGTGCACTTTTTTCTGGAAGAGCTCACAGGAAATGGAGAGCAGGCTGTCAGGAGCATGGATCTGGAAGGGGGGGGGGTCAACGGTGGGGAAAAGACTTCATTTTCACGGCACACCTTCCTGTGCCATTTGAATTTTTTATCACTTACCTGTCTTACCTACATGCTTATAAATATATAATGTTTAATGTAATTTAAAAAAATAGAAAAGCGCCCAGCTGGTGTGGCTTAGTGGTTGAGTGTTGATGTAAGAACCAGGAGGTCATGGTAGATTCCCGGTCAGTGCACATGTCCAGGCTTCAGGCTTGATCCCCGGTAGGGGGTGTGCAGGAGCAGCTGATCAGTGATTCTCATCATTAATGTCTCTATCTCTCTCCCTTTCCCTTCCTGTCTGAAATCAATAAAAATATTTAAAAAATAGAAAAGCAATGTTCATTGATCACAACATTTATTTATTTATTTATTTATTTATTAAATATATTTTATTGATTTTGTACAGAGAGGAAGGGAGAGAGATAGAGAGTTAGAAACATCGATGAGAGAGAGTCATCGATCAGCTGCCTCCTGCACACCCCCCACTGGGGATATGCCCGCAACCAAGGCACATGCCCCTGACCGGAATCGAACCCGGGTCCCTTCAGTCCCCAAGCCGACGCTCTATTCATTGAGCTAAACCGGTCCCGGCTGATCACAACATTTAAACAATGAAATGAAACTACTACTATTAACAGCTTCACAAATGATTGAATAAATAATCTTACATTTTGACACGTGTTTGTATTGTTTGAACTTGTACGGTGGGCTGAAATTAAACAAAAACCCTCTTTGTTTTTAAGTCAGAGGCGAGCAAAGAGGCCGGTGTAGCTATAGAGGTGAGCGAAGACAGTGACCCGGACAGGCCTCGGAGACAGGGAGGAGGGAGGCCTGATGAGGACGGAGACAGGTGCCCGGACAGGAGGGAGGAGGTGGCACAAGCTCCATCGCCAAGTCCACGCTGGGCCCAGCGTCTGTCCTGGCCAGGCCCCGGCGAGTGCGGGGGCCTGGACGGGGAGACTGGGGTCAGGGTGAGAGACTCAGTGATAGGGGCCCTGGGGCACCAGGAGTGGGTACCAGGGTCCCGCATATTAGGGGTTGGGACTCGAGGTCAGAGCAAGATTACCCGATAATGGACTCCGTTTCAGAGTTGAACTCCAGATATACAAGGAGTTCTGGAGTCTGGGTTCAGTGCTGAGAGAGAGGATGATGTGACGATGACGATGATGATGATGATGAGACTAACAATAAAAATTGCAGTAACAGTGGCCAGCACTTTGTAGCACTTGCAAGAAGACAAGTGCTTTACACAAGTTAGCTCACTCAGTCCCTCAGTGGTCGGCAAACTGCGGCTTGTGAGCCACATGGGGATCGTGAGCTGCAGTTTGCCGCTCTAACGACTTTGCCGACCACTGGGACAGGGGCTTAATCACAAGGACCAACAGCCCGTAATTATTGGAATCGAGAGTCTAGGTCAGTGGTCGGCAAACTCATTGGGCGACAGAGCGGCAAACCGCGGCCCGTGTGATCGCATGTGGCTCTCGAGCCGCAGTTTGCCGACCACGGCCCTAGATTAGTGTTGTCATCCCCACTTCACAGATAAGGAAACTAAGGCGCAGAGAGGTGAAGTCACTTGCCCAAGATCACACAGCTTATGTGAGACAGAGAAAGGTAGGATTCACCCTGAGCAAAAGGGAGGTCCCTTCACTCCCAAATCCCAAATCGCACCTCCCCCAGTCCCTCTGCCTCTCCTGCCGCCCCCGCCCGGACAACCGGACAACCGGACAACCGCAGCAGCAGGGAGATCTCACCTCCCGCACCTGCGCCCACGGAGCCGGTGGCGATGTGCCAGCCCGGTGAGCAGCGAGAGGAGCCCTCCCTCCCAGGCTGGGAGGTCCGGACGCTGCAGGCGGGTATGGGTGGATGAGAGAAAGTCGTCCTGGGGGGCCACTGAGATGCTTAGGGGCGAAGGAGCATCACGTCTGCCAGATATTCTCAAACGGCTCAGGGCCGAGGGAGGATTTCTCCAGAAGAGAGAGAGGAAGGATGGATGGTGACACAAACCTAGCAAATGGCAACAACTGGCAAACCCGGGTAATGGCTTCTTCAGAGTTCATGGTACGATTCGAACCCACAATCTAAGCATGTGCCCTGATGGGGAATCAAACCCTCAACCTTTTGGTGCACGGGGCAATGCTCCCACCAGCTAAGCCACCAGCCAGGGCCGAGAGAAATGCATCTAGACAACACACAGCCGAAACCTCCCTGCACAAACACAGTCCTTAAGACTGGGACGAGTGACTAACCGGACTCGTGGCCACCTCCCGGTGAAGAAGTGGGCTCGGCCCCCGCCCCGCCCGCCCAAGCTCCCACAGCGTGTGTGAGAGAGGGAGAGGCCGGACACACCAGGCAGAGCCCCACTCACAGCCCCCCTCCTCCATACGCCCCCCCACTCCCCAATGGTTGGGTCTTCGCTCGTGTGTCCTCATAGTTCTGTCAGCTCTGTGTGTGTCCCCAGACACTGTACTTTGTCTTGCCCATTAAAAAAACAACACAACACCGAAACCGGTTTGGCTCAGTGGATAGAGCGTCGGCCTGCGGACTGAAAGGTCCCGGGTTCGATTCCGGTCAAGGGCATGTGCCTTGGTTGCGGGCACATCCCCTGTAGGAGGTGTGCAGGAGGCAGCTGTTCGATGTTTCTCTCTCATCGATGTTTCTATCCCTCTCCCTTCCTCTCTGTAAAATATCAATAAAATATATTAAAACGAAACAAAACAACAACAACACAAAACCCTCCATATTTGTTAAGTCCTGTATTTTGGTTTTCCCTTCCACCCCTTCCCTTTCCTTGGAGCTTATCAGTGGCACAAGCTGGGCCGCCTGACCGGAACGATGGACACCCTGGGGCTGGCTTGTGCCAACAGTAGCTCCGTGGTGAGACCTGGGCATTGCCTGCAAAATGGCAGCTGGGGGCAAAGCCCCGATCAGGGAGAGTGACGAGGAATGAGGACGTGAGAGGAGCGCCTGGCACGGGCGACAGCCCCCAAAGAGCAGCCCACACGGTTGGCAGGTGCCCGTGTGGCCTGGCCACAGCTCAGCCAGACGCCACATCCAGTCTCAACAGCCTGCCCGCCCTGGCTTCTCTCCCGGACTCGGCTGGCCTGCTCCACCCCGGGGCAGTTCCAGGGCCGCGGCCGGGAGCTGGCGGAGAATGGCCTGTAATTTTAGCTGTTCCTCTCCCCTAAAATTATTTCCCATCTGGAAATGGTTTCCAAACCCTGCCCAGGAAAGAGTTGGTGGTGCAGGGAACATTTTTCTATTAAAAACAAAAGGGGGGGGGGGGGGAAATAAGGCCAACCACGGAACACTGAGTCTCTGCAGCCCAGGCTCCCGAGACCAGGCTGAGCGCCAGCTGTATGCCCTGCCCTGAGGGCCTGCCAGGGAGGAGCAGAGGGCGAGAAGGGAGTTGGGCTCTGCCCCCAGCACCCCCTGTCCCACATGGGCATGGACGGGGCTGGATGCAGGGCCTGGTGGATCTGGATGAGCCGGGGAGGATGTGGCCTGGGGTCGAGGGGCTTGCTGGCCATGCAGGGCTGTTGTAAGTCACCGGACATCGGATCACAGAGGCTTGTCCCTACAGGGATTTCCTGCAGGGGCTCTGAGCATCCCAGCTGCTAGCATCCTCTCATCCCCTAGCTAACTCTCTCTCACGTTCCTTTGACAGAGTCCCAGCAGCCTCTGTTTCCACACGGGTCGAGCAATCGCATCCGGCAAAAATGCAGGGATGTCGAGCTCTCACTGTATTTGTGTTCACCCTGATCTCTTTCATGAAGAATGACATGGGTCTTCCATTCCGCTAGCGTGCAGTAGAGCTGCCTTTGTGCAGGACCGTTTCGTTCAAATAGGAAGGAGGGCGGGAAGTCCATTTAGAATCTGGACCGAGGAAGGCGGAACCTGGGTAGCAGGGGACAGAGCCGACTGCAGTGGGGAAGACTCAGGCGCCATGGCTCCGAGGGCAGACTCCAGGGCCTGGGCTGGGATCCTGGCTTTGGTCTTGGGCTCCCTGAGTGCTAGTCCTTTATCTGTAAAAGAAAGCAAATGATGTAATTACTTCTGAGGGTTTGATGAGACACACAGGGCCCAGGTCATGAAGACTCAGGAAGTTCACTCCTTCAGCCAGAACTCACAGAGCAGATCTCCCCAGTTCATGGCATTTCCTCAGAAAGCAGCAAAGCATGGAGATCCCGGGTTCAAATCCCAGCCTGCCACTCACTGGCTGACTGAGCAAGTGGTCCCACCTCCGAGGAGGACGCTGATGGCTTTGAGCTTCCCCTGGAAGGTGGACGGTGGAGGGCCATCTTCGGGGACCCCGTGGCACCCTGTGTCTGGTTGTCTGACCCCAGTTGTCAGCCCCTGCCTCTACCTCTAACTGAGCCCACAGCTCTCTGCCTCTCCCTCCCCCTCCCCCCTTACTGAGACCATTTTAGCCACACTCAGCCTTGGCCACCCCAGGGCCTTTGCACACACCGTCCCTTCAGTCTGACATGCCTCACTGCTTCCACCAGGGCAACTGCTGTTCCCCCTGGGAGAGCAGGTGGGCTTCCTCACAGCCCCGAGGCTGGGGCAAGCGTCCCCTCTCTGCGCTCCCAGCCTCCCAGGTCTCAACTGTTGTTTGATTCTCTGATAGGAAACATCCATCAATATTTTAAACAAACTTTTAAAAATATATATGTTATTGGTTTTTTTACAAAGAGGAAGGGAGAGAGATAGAGAGCTAGAAGCATCGATGAGAGAGAAACATTGATCAGCTGCCTCCTGCACACCCCCAACTGGGGATGTGCCCGCAACCAAGGTACATGCCCTTGACCGGAATCGAACCCGGGACCCTTGAGTCCGAAGGCTGACACTCTATCAACTGAGCCAAACCGGTTTCAGCTTAAACAGATTTTTATGCTCTACTGCACTCCACCCTTTTAGGCACAAATGTCTGCCTCCTTTTCTTTGGCACCTCCCGCCCCGGCCCCTGCCCCAAAGGAGACCATGCAAACGTGTAATACAATCCTGGCAGAGAAGCCAAAGGCATGAGGTCTGCCTCCATACACCCGACATGCAATGCACCCTCAGTCACCATCTCTGAATAATGAGGCAGTGGCAGTACCTGCCTTATTCTGGTGGTTGTGAAGGTTACATGAGCTAACATGTGGGCAGTCCTTAGCACAGAGCCCAGGACAGCATCGTGTTTGAGGCGGGGCAGGAGAACGGCATCTCCTGGTAGGATGGGACCTCTCAGACCAGGGTCTGGGCCAGGGTGAAGCTTGTGGGGTGCCCAGGCTGCAAAATGTAAGGTGGTGTTCACCCTCAGGGCTGTGCAGACCCAGGTTTCCCGAGACAGAGTCGTCCTAGGTCTCTGCTGCCGCCTGCTGGTCATTCTGCAGAATGACAGCCCATTCCTCTGCTCTGACCCGCTCCTGACCCTCTGCCCCCAGAGCTGGCCGGAGGGAAGTCACCTGACTAGCTTGGAGAGGCAGTGGAAACCTGGGTTTCATTACCAGGAAACTAGGGTAGGGAAGCCTGCCTCACAGCATGTAGAGAACAGGAAGCACTCCGCAACCATCAATGTCCTTCCTGCAATGCCAGCGTTTAATAAGCACCTACTAAGTGCAAAAGACTAAAGGTGACTGAGACATGAGCCCTCCCCTCCAGGGGCTTAAGAAGTGGAGTGGGGTGGGCAGGAGGAAGAAGGCTGAGAAAGATGACTGACGTAAGGGGCTGGCCCTATTGAGCACATACTATTCTAAACACGTGTATTAACACGTTTAAGGCTCTCAGAACACAAGGAGGTGGTACTATTTTTAATTCCTGCTAGGAAGCTGAGGCCAAGAGAGGGTAACTAACCTGTTCCAATGTTGAGCAGACTTGATGGTGGAGGTGAGACTAGAATCCACAAAATTCTAGTGCGAGGCCGGGGTGTTGTATGGATCATCCATCCATTTATTCAACAAATTGAACACCTACTGTGCGCCAGGCACAGTGGTGGATGCTGGGAAGAGAGCAGTGACCAAACAGACTCAGCCCCTGCCCGCAGGGAGCTGTTCACGTGGAGGAGATGGATAATAATACGCAAGATAGATGAGTAAAATATGTCACGTGGTGTCTTGCTGTATATAAAACATAGAGTGCAGAAAGAGAAGGAGGGCTGGAGTGTGTTTCAGTCCTTGTGGGCCATGTAGGTGCTTTTGCTTTCACTGAGCCGTGGGGTGGGGTGGGGTTCTGAGCAAGGGGGTGGTGAACACAGGGCATCTGGGAGGGTGGAACAGGCTGAGAGTTGCGGGTGCGAGATATCAGTTCAATTTCAGGTCCATTCTGCGTGGCCTGTGAGTATGGGTGTGGCATTTGGATTTATCCCAAATAAGACATGGCGCTTTGACCTGCCATACAGTGAGCCCTGCGCCAGCCGGTGGGCTATCGCTGTGGTTAGGAGAATACTGGAGGGATCATTTCTGGTCTTGGCTCCTTTGAGGGCTGCTGCAGTGTCTCATGCAGCCACCAGGTGGCGCCAGCGCACAGCGGGATGACCCGAGCCGATTCGCAGGGGACGTGGGCCTGCAGGCCTGGATCTCAACTATTAGCAGCTTGGGCAGGATCCTTCTCTGTGGTCCGGGCTGTCCTCGGCATTGCAGGTCGTTTGGCAGCATCTCTGACCTCCCTTCACCCCGAGTCAGCATCACACCCCATCCCTCTGCATGACAACCAAAACGGTCTTCAGATATTGCCAAGTCACAGGCCTGCCCTGACGCCTGCTTAACCGCGTTCATTCACTGTGTGCCCCAGTTTGCTCCCCTCCAGGCTCACAGCCCAGAGGACCGAGTACCAGCAGGGATCACACCCAGACAGTGCAGGCCCCCATGTAGCCCTTCGAGACAGTTGAATGGCATAAGTCAAGTTCATCTACTACATGGGGGTGGGGGGAGTGTTCTAGGTGCAATCCAGATTTTCCCACTTATTAGCTGTGTGACCTTGGGCAAGTCTCCATGGCTCTCTCGAGCCCCCATCCCCCATATGCAGAATGAGAGAGGAGTCTGTTTTGGTGCCAAACCCCAGTGGGGTCTGGGATCCAGCTATGGTGAGGCCGCTGTCCCCTCCTGGAGCTCCCAGGCCTGGACAAAGGACATCCGCACTGTGAATAACACACACACTGGTGCCTACACGAACCCTGACACCTTCCCCGAGCTAGAAAGCAGGTCTGAGTCACACACAGGAGGTCTGAGCCAGCTTCCCTGCCCGTATTGTCTCCACACAGTCACCTGACGTACCAACGGTTGTGTGCGTGCCTCTGGTTCATCTCCAGCTCCCCACTCCAGCTCCCTGTGAGCAGAGACTCTTGTCGAAGTTGCTCACTGCTCCAATTCCAGCCCCAGGATCGTGCCTGGGGCTCGGGAGGGGCTCCATTTGGTTGGGTGAATAAAGTCCCTTCTTCCATTTTTGCCCCCATATAGACTATAGTTCATTCTCCACAAAGGATCCCGTGGGACTCTCAGAGGAAAAGACCTATATAAGCCCTACTTGATCTACCCCTCCGCTTCACCCCTCCTCCGCCCCTGCCAGTCTCATCTCCTTGACCTCATTGGCCCCAATCTTCACTCACTTACTCTGTGCCGGACACACGGGTCTCCTTGAATATTCCTGCCTCAGGACCTTTGCACCTGCTGTTCCCTCTGCTAAGAACTCTCTTCCCCATAGATGTTGGCACCGCTCCTCCTTTCACCCAGGCCTCTGCTCAACACCGCAGCCTCACAGAGGCCTCCGTCCCAAACACTCTCGGCCCAGTCACTTTCACAGCGCGTGCCTCTAGCAGGAAGGATCTTGCAGAGATGTTAAGCTCTTTGTTGTCCGTCTCACACTCACAGCAGTAAGCTCTGCCCTCGGGGAGCTCAGAGTCCGGTGAGCCAGACCAGGAAGGGCCTCTCTGAAGCGGGGCATTGAGCTGTGACTGGAAGGATGGGAAGGGACTGGTTGTGGGGGAAACTGAGGAAAGGTCTTTCCTGGCAGGGGGAGTAGCATGTGCCAAGGCCTGGGGGCGGCTCCCTGCAGGGCCTGCCTCAGGGTGGTGAGTGCCCAGGCCGCGCAAAGCTGCTGGCTGGGAGCCCGGGAGTCACCCAGAGCCCACCCTGGGTGGACAGGGGCTGGGCCAGACCCGGCCGCATGAAGGCCATGGACAGCGGGACGGGAAGGGCCCGGAGCAGCCCGAGCGGGCGGCTCCCTCCTGCCAGCCCCCAGGAAGCCCTGGCTGGAATGACTGGCCACGGGAGCTCCCAGGAGAGGCCCAGGCAGCTGTGCAGGGGCCCTGAGATCCACAGCCCCGGTTTAAATCACCCCCCCCCCCCCCCCCCCACAGCTGAGTGACCTTGGCCACATCACCACGTCTCCAAGCTCCCGTTCTCTCTTCTCTAAAGGGCGGTGGGAAGCAGGACTGCGCGTACAGGCCAGTGTGCGGCCCCGTGGGAGAGCGAGGGGAACCCGTGTCACCCAGCAGGTGCTGGGCAACCGGCGTCAGCTGTGGTGGCTGTGGGGGCCCCCCTATGGGGCGGGGACGGTGGTGGCTGTAGTGGCACCAAGCATAAAGGCCAGCAGGGGAGCGTGGCATGGGTTTCTGGTTCAGGCAGCCTGTGTTGGACTCAGACCCCCTGCTTTCTAGCTTGGGGCATGTCGCATCGCCCTGCTGCATGCCTCAGTTTCCCCATCAGGGACAATGAGAAGCCTCACCCAGGGAGGAGAGTACAGCACCCAGCATGGGGCTCGGGCCTGTGGCTACAGAACGGGCAGGCTGTGGGGGCAGCCGCAGGGGGCAAGCGGGAAGGGTGAGGGCGTGCTCCCCACAGGCTGGTAGCAGGAGGGTTTGTGGGGAGCCCAGCTAATCGCTAAGACCAGATCTTAGCTATTATCTGGAACATAAGCATGCATCGGGCTCCGTCTGCTGGGTGTGAGTCCCCTGTGCCAGCTGTGCATCCTTGGGCAAGTTACTAAACCTCTCTGCGCTCGGTGCCTTTGGGTGAAGCAGGGACAAGTGCATCCCTTCCAGCCATGGGGTAGGTGGAGGGTCCTGACAGAGGAAGGTCACAGGAAGGTTGGTGACAGGCGCAGGGCCCGCCTGATGGCAGAGCTGAGGAAGCTGGGGACCTGGACCATGACAGGGCCTGGGAGGGCCGGGGGCAGGCGGGCGACCTTGCGTGTTCATCAAACACACGTACATGCTCTGCCACGGGTCCGGGTGGGAAAGGGCAGGCCCCGGGGTGGAAGGCAGTCCAGCGGAGGCAGCAGGGCCATCGGTGACTCCTGCAGGAACGGCCGCTGGGCCCAGGGAAGGCGGGGACGTGCCTAGGTAAGAAGTGTGTCTTCGGCTGGGGCGGGCGGGAGCACTGGAGGGTTTAGGAGTGAGGGCTAAGTCGTGCTTTCCCTATATTCCACCTCACTGCTTCATCCCCAGCACCCGGCCCGCAGCCTGCCTCTCAGGAGGGGCTGAGGGAACTGGCTCTGAATGAATCCGTGGGATCATGGAGGAGTGAGAAAGCAGCCACTGAGAGGTGGCCCTCACCTCACCATCCACCCACAGAGCCCGAAGCACCTGACTTAGAAACTGAAATATGGTGGCACTCATACTTGGGTAAAAACTGCTGTTTGAATTTTAACCTTGCTATCTGACTTCGACCTTCGATTACTTGCTTGAACAATAGGGTAGTTGTAGGAGATTGACTCCCACTGACTCAGTAGCTTCAGGGGTAGAAACTGTAGATAGCCTTTAGTTCTGCTTTTGTATTATGGGCAAGATAGGGCCACATTCCAATGTCGAGCAGGGTGTGACTGGGAACCGACCCTGCAGGCTGTCCCCAGTCTTTAGAATTTAGTCCTGAGGGGCCAATCAGGGTTAGCCGAGGCAGTGACATCACCGACCTGAGTAAAACCCCTGGACTGGGCGATATTCGCTCTCTTCCGCCATGCTGCCGGCATGAGTGGGATAGCCCATGCTAGCATGGAGATGGCTCTTTTGTTTATTGCATCGGACTCTGCTCCCTGGTGGTCCTTAGGGATCATGACTGGAATCCCCAGCCAGGACCATGAGGGACCCCCATTCCGGAGAGCCTGACTGGCCGCGGTAGGTGTGTGTTTGTTTTTGTGTGAGGGCTCTGGAGGGACTGCCCCTCCATCGGGGCTGTCACCTGGGTGTTTACCGGCTGCTGCGTCAGCCATGGTTTGAGTCCAGATTCGAATCTGTAATAAATTCTAGCATGCTTAATCAAGTTGGCTCCGGTGGTCCATCTCTTGGGGACTCGCTTCGTAACAGAAACCACTGCAGAAAAACTTGTAGTCGCTACTATGCGTAGTGCACCTGCTATGTGCTAGGTATTGGGAAGAGCCAAGCGCCAAACAGATCTAGCCCGTGTTCATGGAGCTCGCATTTCAGGGGTAGAGGAGGGACAGGTAGACGAATAGCACGGTTCCTCCAGCGAGCGTTCAGTGCTGGGGGTGTGAGACCGTGAGGAGGGAGCTGGAGGAGCGGTGGTGGGAGTGCCAGGGGGGCCCAGCACGGGAACATCCCTGAGGTGGAGGAGCAGGAGGGCCCCGGAGTGGCGGGGGGCAGAGGAAGTCAGAGAGGGAGCCCTGGGGCTTTGTGAGTATGAAAGGAGGACTTTCTCAGAAGTGCAGGAGGCCCCGAGGCAGGGTTCTGAGCAGGGAGTGACTTGATGTTGTTTGCATTTTAAATCCTCCCAATCGAAGGGCTTAACCGTTACTACCATCGCCATCTTACAGCTGGGGAAACTGAGGCTCCAGAGAGCTAAAGTCTTACCTTAGTTCACACAGCTGCTAAGACAGAGCCAGGATTCAACCCCAGTCTGCGTGCCTCTGGGACCCCAAGGCTGGGAGGGGATTGGAAGACGCCTGCTGGACCCAGCGCAGGTCCCTGAGTCACAAGACTGGGTCCAGGGCTAACCTGGGCACCCAGGAGCTGCCCGGGGAGGGGTCCTGGGCATCCTCGCCCTTCCCACGCCCCAGGCGATTCTGGCCGCTGCCACGTGGGCTGATGCCCCACAGGGGACGCAGGACAAGCTTCTCCAATCTGCCCTCCAGCTGCTGTGCAGCCTCCGGCCAGCCCCCAGCCGTCTCTGGGCCCACAATGCACCTGTTATCTGGCCCCGCCCCCAAGTCTGCAGTCTGTGTACTGTGTGGACTCCCGGGCAGATGCTGATACTGGGCCCGGGCGGGAAGGCAAAAGGCGAGACAGATAAACAGGCCGTGGGAGGTGCTGTGGGCCCAAAGCCCAGCCTCCGGTGGGTGGGGCGGCGGCTGTGGCGGCCTCACCAGAACCCGGGGCCCAGGCCCTGCCCAGATAATGTGGCCGGAGAAGAGGGAGACTCGGGCAGCAGAGCTTGGCTTCTGTGAGAGGGAGAAAGCGAAGGGGGAGGGAGGGAGGGAGGGGTGGAAGCAGGGAGGGCGGGAGGGAGGGGGGAGGATTCCACAGCTAGCACTCCTTTAACCCTCACAGCAGCCAATGGTGATGGTCTTGCAGGTGAGAAAACGAGGCCCAGAAAGGAAGAGTGCTTGCTCAAAGTCCCCTCTCGGAGGCCGCAGAGCCAGGAGCAAACCCAGGCCCATCTCGTTCCAAGAGCCCCTTTGACCCCGCCCAGCTGCCCCTCAGATCCTAGACTTTTGTTTTCCCCTCAAAATAGTCCGGCGATCTGGACTGAGCCGCCGGGGGCCGGGCTGGTGTGAGCCGTGGAGCAAGGTGGGCAGGGGAGCCGGTGGCCTCCCCGGGCACAGCCCAGAGCCAGCCCTACCCCCGGGAGCCTGCTCAGCCCAGGGGCCTGCCAACCCAGAAGGAACCCCCTGCCACACTCGGCACCCGGGGCCGGGGCACCGTCTGGAGATGGGAAACGGAGGCCAGGCATCCCTGTAACGGGCCCAGCACCAGGGAGAGAGCAGACACGGCTGGTGGCATCCAGGGGCGGGGGGCCTGGCTCTTTTCCTCCTTCCTGCCTGCTCGGATATTTTCCCGGCCATCGCCTCTTTGTACATCCTCATTTCTCCTCTCAGGACCTCCGCTGTTAAAAGACATAAAGTGAACAACAAATACGTAACTATCAACAAGTGAATCTAAAAACCAAGGAAACTAAAAAAAAAAAAAAAAAATCTGAGGAACAATATTAACTGTTGAATATAATAGAATCAGAGGTATGGAAGGGGAGTGAACTGTTTATTCTTGGGGAAAAGGGGAGAGGGGGACTTGGGAAGAGACTGAACATAAACTGTGCACCTATGGATGAGGACAATGGGGGGTGGGGAAAGGGCAGAGGGTGGGGTGAGAAGGGGGGAAAGGAACATTTGTAATAATATGAACAATAAAAATTTATTTAAAAAAATAAATAAATAAAATAAATAAAGACACCAGGAAGATATTAAAAAAAAAAAAAAAAAAAAAAAGACATAACGTGTCCTCCCTTGGCCCATCACCGGCCCACAGGCGCCCCATCCCTGCTTTCTGGCCGGCATCCCGCTTCTGATGGGCATGTCCACCCCCCTGACTCGCTCCCTCCTCGCCCCACCCCCTCTGGAGTGTCCTCCGACCAGGGGTCCTCCCAGAGGCTGCCTCGTGGCTCTGATGTCACCCTCCTTGCCCCCAGGCCCAGTCACGTGGCATCTCCGCGGGAACGTTGCTCGGGGTCACCTCTTAGCAACGTTCCCGCTGAGCTGGTCTTTGGACCCGCCCAGCCGCGCCCTTGGCAACCACTCCTGAGGCTGAAAATAAATGAGTGCGACGAACCTCACGTGCCCACCAGCTTCTCCGCCTCTCTCCCAGGCTCTGGACCTGAGAATCGAATCGCCTACCTGAAACATCCTAAAGAGACACCTCGGTTTCCCCAGATACTTACTCCTCCCCCCACCCCACCCCAACCTCCCGTCTTTGCTCTTCCTGACTCTGCCCAGTAGTAGCTCACGCTCCAAGACTAGGTGTTCCTCTCCAAGTACCTGGTTACAGATGCATCCACACAGGCGTGCATTCGTCCACCAGCAAGTATAATATTTACTTACTGAGCACCTGCTATGTGTCAGGCACTGCTCTGCACCCCTGGCTTCCGTCTACAGCGGTGAACAGGCAGCCACAGGTCTCTGCCTCCAGAAGAGAAACAAGCCATTCCTACTGGAACCCGGGGGAGCGGGTCAGTCAGCTGCCTGCCCCCCCCCCCCCCCCCCCCTCCGGGAGCCACTGGAGAGCAGGGCCTTGGTCCTCTTCAGCTCAGGATCTCGGCGTTCGGCTCCTGGTTCGCAGTATCCGGGAGCTCTGATGGGCGCGAGCGAGCGAGTGAGCGGATGAGTGGGTGAGTGAAAGTGGCCAGCAGGTGAGGAGACGCAGGCAGGCGGCTCCTGTGACCTAGAGCGCGGCACTTCCACATTCGGTGCTCACTTCCTCTTGCTCGGAGTCCTGGTTTCACTGTCTCAGGTTGCTCCTGGTTTCAAAAGGGTGTGAAAGCAGGACTCGGTGGAGCCAGAAACTGAAACCTACCAGGAGCCGGAGGGGGGGGGGGGGGGGGGGGGGGGGGGGGGGGGAGGAAGCGGGCAGTGTTTCTCTCCAGGGGGTTTGACTAACGACCTGACCCTCCAGTTGGAAGAGCCTCGGGAGTCACATTAGTAAAAAGACACTCTGACTCCATTTCCACCAAAGCCACAGGCCCCACGGCGCGGCCAGTGGAGGTCTGGGGACTCTGGTGTCCCCGATGTGCTTCGGGCCTTGGCACACCCGCAGGCCGTCCAGACGCCAGGCTCCGGGCTGGCAGCGGGATGTAAACAGCTGTCCTGCAGAAGGGGCTGCTGCCCGGGGCGGGCCCCTGAGTCATCGCCTCTCAAGAACCGGCTTGTCACCACAGCGTGGCAGGTGCTATTTGGTCAACATCTCTGCGGGGTCACTGGGAACAGACTCAGAGACACAGCCCCACCCGCAGGTGGCTCCCGGGAGGGGCCCAGGGCCGAGAGGGGCATAGGAGCTATTTTTTAATGGATTCCTACACAGTTCCTGACTCTGTGGTTGTGACTCCTCGCTTATTCCCAATCGTGTTCTTGTCACTCTTTTCCTGAGTGAGATTTGCCAGGATTTATCTACTAAACTTTTTATCATTTTTATTAAGTTGTTTTTTACTTCATTAGTTGCAGAATTAACCTTTAATTTCTTATTCTTATTTTAATATATATATATATATATGTATGTGTGTGTGTGTGTGTGTGTATATTCTATTTTTTAAGTTACTTAATTCATTTGTTTTTCTCTTTTAAATATTAGAAGTTTGTAGGCTCTGGATTTCCTCTGTGGCATTCGCTGCATCTGCTTTGGATGATCAGTGTCTACTTTTTAGTGCAGGTAGGTTGCCCTTTCAGTGCTGACTTTTCCCTCGGATGCTGGCTCTGATTTTTTAAGAAGTTAAGAATTTGCCAGGCTGGTGTTGCTCAGTGGTTGGGCATCAACCTATAAACCAAGAGGTCACAGTTCAATTCCTGGTCAGGGCACATGCCCAGATTGTAGGCTCGATCTCCAATGTGGAGTGTGCAGGAGGTAGCCAATCAATGATTTTCTCTCATTATTGACTCACTCTCTCTCTCTCTCTCTCTCTCTCTCTCTCTCTCTCTCTTTCTCTCTCTCTCCCCCTTTCTCTCTCTCCTCTTCCTCTCTGAAATCAATAAAAATATTTTTAAAAAACTTAAGGATTTGAGGCTCTTCTGAGAATGTGTTCACTCATTGGATTATGAAATGAGAGTGGGGCTAGGAAAGATCTCCACGGTGAATTGTGACCTTGCCACTCAGCAGCTCTGACTAGACGGGTGACTGTGCCTCTGAGCCTGTTCCCTCGTCCGGAAAGCGGGCACCACACCAGTTCCCATGTGAGAGGGCCCGGTGGCCATGGAGTCAAAAGCCAGGCCGGGCCCTTGTCCTGAAGCCACCACTGCCCAGCCCCTCGCCGCCTTTACCTCTGCTGCGTGTGTATCAGGGTGGCATTGGGGGCGCTGGAACGAGGGGGCAGGGACCTGAGGCTCCTTCCTCAGCCCCTGAGCCACCCTGGATGCTGCCACTGCCCCTCGTGGTAACACCCAGGCCTGACACGAAGTCCCTGGTGCGTGACAGGCCCCGGTGCCCCACGGCGGATGTGGGGGAGCTGCTCCCTGGCGGTCAAGATCACTGAGTGATGCTCGAATTTATCACCACAGCGGAATTAGCAGCGAGGACAAACTGCTAAGAGTAACTCATGCCAGTTGTGAAATGAAGTCAGCTCCTGGCTGGCAGGCAGCTTCCCCAGGCGGCTATGAGCCTCTCAGCTCCGAGAGGCAGCCCAGCCCTGCCTCTACCCTCCACTCACCACCTGCAGACCTCGCCTCACTGCCCCCGCCTGCGCCCCTCACTCCCCCACGGCTGGACCGGCCGCCCACAGGCCCTGCTCGATGCGCGCCCAGGGCAGCGGAGGGCAGCTTGGCGAAGCCGCCGAACAGGAACGAGGCCCGCGGGGTGGGGAGCCGGGGTGAGAAATGGGGGGACGGGGAGCAAGTCCGCTCTCAGTTCTAGAAAGAATGGGGACCAGAGAGAACAGCTCTGCCACCAGGACCCCGCAGCCTGCGGAGCAGTCCGAGGGGAGGAGAATGACCCGGGTGGTCATGTTTCCGTCAGGACAAACGGAGAAGCAAAGAAGCCTGAGAAAGCTTCTCTCCTCCCTCCCTCCCTCCCTTCCCTGTCCTCTCTCCTTCCTTCAGCTACTATTTTAATCCCACCTGATGTGGCCCCTGCTCTGGGCGGTGAGGCGAGCCGAGCTTCTGGCCCTCCGAGTCCACAATGCAGAGGGGGAAATGCAGATCCTAAACCAGCGCAGGAATAAATTCACACGTGGATGGACCGAGTGATGTGGGGTGAGGAATAATCACCTGGGCTGGGTGCTGCGGGCTCCAGCGGAGGGAGGAGCCAGGGAAGGTCCCCCGGAGTTCATGGGCCCGGGTCAGCTTTAGCCGCACTCGAATTATTTACTAGTCCTGACAGCCTTACCTGGAAAGAGCCAGGCTCAAACACAGAATGTCACCTTTTGTACTTTAGCCTGAATTCGTTAGGCAACAGGCTGGACACGTTTTTTTCTGTGAAGGTAGTAAATATTTTGGAGTTTGGGGGTCGCAGCTACTCCATTCTGCCCCTGTAGCTTGAAGCAGCCGTAGACCCTATGTAAGCAGGGGGGCGTGGCAGTGTTCCTGGGAAATTTTATTGACAAATCCAGGCAGCTGACTGGCCAGAGTTTGCCAACCCCCATACTCCTCCCGAGTTAGGCTAACAATTAATGAAAATATAAATGGGGGAGGAGGATCACAGAACAAGGAAGGAGTCCAGGAAACACAAAACCAGCAATATGTACTGGCCAGTACAGGGAGCAATAGCAATAGCAATAGCCTGGGAGGAAGTAAACCACCCAACAAGAATGGACAAACAGTCCAGGCCCTGTCAGCACAAAGGAAAAGGAAGTGGCAGGGAAGAGCGACAGATTATACAGAAACGCGGAAAAGCCAGCCTGTTGAGCGGAGAGAGGACACGCCACAGGGAGGTACACTGGCGTTCTCTGATCCTGGGACACAGCGGAAGAGAGAGCTCGCTGAGATTTAGGGTGATGGGGGGGGGGGGGGCGGGAGACACACGACATTTCTGTGTTTGTCATTCTGCCTGAACAGATGGCCAAAAACACAACAGAGGTAACAGGTTTTGTTATTTACTTACTTATTTTGAAAGACTTTTTATCAATTTTTAGAGAGAGAGGAAAGGAGAGAAATATCAATGTGAAAACAAAACATTGTTGACTGGCTGCCTCCTGCACACCTCCCAACAGGGATCAAGCTCGAAACCCAGGTATATTTCCTGACTCGGAATCCAACTGGCAATCTTTTGGTGCACTGGACGATACCCAACCAACAAAGCCACGGTGGGCAAGGCTGGTTTTTTTTTTTTTTTTTTTATAATTTACAAATTAAATCAAGAAGTCCTATATAATAAAGAGGTAATATGCAAATTGGCCCTCACACCCTCACAAGATGGCTGCCTACAACCAGGCCAGCAGGGGGGTTAGTGAGGGAAGACCAAATGACTGAACAGCAGGATGTATAGGGTGACCAGGCCAGTGGGGGGACCATGAAGGGTGACCAGTTCGGCAGGGGGCTGTTAGGGGCAATCAAGCTGGCAGGCAGGTGAATGATTAGGAATCAGCGATCCAGGATTGTGAGAGAAATGTCTGACTGCCAGCAGTCAGACATCCCCTGAAGGGTCCCGGATTGGAGAGGGTACAGGCTGGGCTGAGAGGGAACCCCCCCTTGTGCACAAATATTGTGCTCTGGGTCTCTAGTATTTAATAAGGGCCCATTACATTAGGGACTACCGAGATTAAAAGTGGCAACAATGGCAGTTCCTATTAGGAGTTGTTGAGAAATAGCATTTCATTATATTACTACTTTAAATTTTTTTAATAATGGTAAAATACACATAACATGAAATTTACCATCTTAACCATTTTTATGTGTACAGTTCAGTATTAAGGGTATTCATATTATTGTGCAACCAATCTCCAGAACTTTTTCACCTTACAAAAATGAAACTGTATATGCATTAATCAACCCCCCACTTCCCCCTCCTTTCTGCCTCGGCAGCCATCATTCTACTTTAGGTTTCTATGCTTGACTTCTCTAAAAACCTCATAAATATAAAATCATATGGTATTGTTCTTTTTGTGACTGGTTTATTTCATTTAGCACAATATTCTTAAGGTTCATCTGTATGTCAGAATGGCCTTCCTTTTTAAAAATATATTTTATTGATTTTTCACAGAGAGGAAGAGAGAGGGATAGAGAGTTAGAAACATCGATGAGAGAGAATCATCGATCAGCTGCCTCTTGCACACCCCCTACTGGGGATGTGCCTGCAACCAAGGTACATGCCCTTGACCGGAATCGAACCCGGGACCTTTCAATCCGCAGGCCGACGCTCTATCCATTGAGCCAAACCAGTCCAGGCTGGCCTTCCTTTTTAAAGCTAAATCATGTTCCACTTTTTTTGTCCATTAATCCGTCAGTGGAGACCCGGATTGCTTCCACTTTTTGGCTGTTGTGAATAATGCAGGTGTACAAATACCTTTTTGAGACTCTG